GAGTGGGATAGAAAAGGATCTCCTCGTACCTCCTTCCCAGGGAGAAAGGATAAGAACTGATCAGACTACTGAATTTTCATTTTGACAGTTACTTGGCTTATTAATTTAATGCTGAAAATGAAAGGCAGGAGCAACTCTCAATAGGAGTGATCTCAGTTCTTTTCTACTCCAGTTTTGCCTTTCAAAATTTGACTTTGAAAAAGGAAGGCCAAGACAAAATATTCAGTGCCTAATTAAATTTCTAAAAAACTCCCCAGAAGCTTTAATACTGATACACAATGAAATCAGCTGTCAGCCAACAGCATTAAGTCAAACAGAGACAGCAATTTGGAAAACTCCAGGAAAGCATCTCACCCCCCTCTCATAGCCAGGAACATCCTCAATGCTCCCTTAAAAACCCATAACACTTAGAGCTTCTGCAGCATGCCTTTGAGGTTACCCAAATCAAAAGAACTTCTGTTAAAGACTTGGCTCTGCCAAGTAACTCCCCTCTCCTAGATAATGATAATAATCTTTTTATATTTTTCAGCATTAAACATCACTGCTAATTGCAGTGTTGGCTAGATGTCAAGTGGACAGAAATGATCATTTCAGGAGGGAGATTCTGGGTCATTTAGTGCCTTTCAAATCACAACCAAAACTTCAAACTCTATTTGGAGACCAAAAAAAACCTCCAGCACAGAGCCAAAGGCATCAGTTTCAGTCATCAGAATGAAAGTCCTATTCTATAAAACTACTGACTAATTTTGCCCAGCTCTGGTCATCAACTAAAGGGCCAACTACAAGATTTCCAACTGCAAAAATGTGTTGTGTTGATAAGACTGCAGGTCAACAAGATGCATCTTTCTCTAATACTGCCTATAAAATAAGGTCTATAATGCTATAAAAAAGAGCTGCTAAAATAATACAAAACTGAGAGCACAACAATTCAATTTTATTTTTTTAATCCATTCCTGGAGATAGCCAGGAAGTTCTTAAAATTGCTGGCAGCTATTCTTCAAAGATTTGGGCTTCAAGGAAGCAAAATTTCAACCAAAACAATTCTAGAGATCAATTTAAAATAATTATAGAACAGTAATTTAGTGAAAAATTAGGATTAACATTAAAAAAAAATAAATCAGAAGCTAATATGGTTCTTGGTGAGGATGGGGCTGTGTGCTTTAAGCAATGAAGTATATCTTCCAGTACAAGTGAATTGGGGGGCTGAGGTGCTTTGAGGGTATAATTTATATTTAAATCACAAAATTTGCTAATGTGGATACAAACTGAGGCTCCAAGTGTGTAATTGTTAGTCCTAAAGCTGTTCATCTTCTCACTATCTTTTCTTTTGGAGTACTGTTTCTACATGTAAGTCAGGTTTGGTGAAAAGTAAAGTAATGCATTCCCTCCTGAAAAAGCAAATTACGTTCTGCATTTGATATCTGGGGAACTTACTGCTTGAATCTCCATATAGCAGTACCAGATAAATATAGAGTTAAATAAAATATATTTATAGCTAATAAAAAAATTTTAGATGGAGGGATTTTTGGTAATGCACCCAGTCCAGATCATGCAGAGAAGTACACCAGCTACCCATGTTCCAGATGACAAGAATCTGCTGCTACAAAACGAGCAGAATGTGTTTATTCTCCATGTGCATGTTCTTGACAAATCTACATAGTGCATTTATTGCTGCAATCCCAAATTACTCAGTATTCTCTAACTTACTGTCCTTTAAGAGTATAAAAAAACCCAACCCCATGCTGTTTATTGAACTACTTCACACACTCATGATGTTTTTAAGAAATACAGACTCTTGTCAGCGACTGTATTCTGGAAACACATCAATAAAAATATTCCCTCTTATTCTGCACAGAGAGTATTTTAAAAATCATACACAACCTTTTAAAATACCCTCTTAGCTCTTGTAATACATTGCAATAATACTGCCAAGAAGAATCAAACCATTGTTTATAAAAGCCTACTTGATTTTTTTCTATTATTCAGAAGTATTAGCAGATATATTTAGTTGTAGCCTTGTGGTAAAGTAATTGCTTGTAATAAAATACTGGTTGTGTTTGAGTTTCAACTGCATTGAACAGTATAAAATGTACACAACAGACATAACAGACAACATAACACAACAGCAAGGAATCCACAGATGCCATCTGCAAAGCCAACATGTAGAAAGCACAAAGACACACAAGGTTGGAGCTGATTTTTGCACCTGGATGTTACCACAATGGAAAGATCAGCGGATCAAAAGCAGAGCAAACAATGGCACGAGTCATGCAATGGGAAGATTGGAAGAAGCAAGCCACTGCAGACAGACTTGTATGGTAGTTAATGTATGAAAAAGCTTACTTCATTTAGAAAGCTCACTAATTGGTCTACCGTTAAATAATCAGTTTTGTCTCCATTGCTGAAAAGAAATTTATTAGAGAGTGTAAGTTTTCATATACGATGCTACAGTAGGTATGATTTACATGTTGACATTGTTGATACTTTTAAACCAACTCCTTTTCTACTTGAATTAACTCTATAATCACAAAATGAACAGTCACAGAAAACAATACTGCCTATGCTTGACTATCTCCCATATGTTCTATAACTTAGCAAACATTACTTCATAAAACAACATGTAAGTCCTCCAGCTGAGAATAAATTGAGTGAAGAAACTTTTTAAACTTCAAATTCTTATTTAATTAGTTCACATACTGTGTTAATCGTCTAAAGGAGCAAGTTAAAATTACAGTAGTTAGTAAAGCCAATGCAAAAAAAAAAGTTGCAGGTGCTTCCTCTAACCCTAATGTAAAAGTTGCTCTAAAATACAAAGTGAACTTTTACATTAACAATCTGAGAGAGAGGGAGGGGGAAAAACAGACTTGAGTTTGTCTTAAAATACTGCTGTTGCTACTAGGATTCTTAGTTAAGTAATCTTTACAGTGTTCTCTCACTACTAGATATGGACTAAAAATACATTAAAATGAATTTAAAGCAAGATTATATTACATTTGAACTTACATCTTCTTAAAGAGGTCCTCTATGTCAGTTCGGGGACATATCTTTTGGGTGAGCTCATAAAACTTCTCATAAGTAAATGCTGCAGGCTCAATTTCATCATTCTGCAACAAAATGCAAAGGCACATTTATCCAGCAGAAGAGCACTTACATGTTCTTTCCCAAGGAGCATATCTTATATCAGAAAAAGCAACTGAGAACTGTTTCAGCTCCCTACCTAGTATACATCTACCTTGTTTCTTCTGGATTTTCCAAAAACAGTTCTTAATTCATCTCTTAACATATCTGATGTGCTTGTATTCTGACCTCACAGTAACATTAATTCTACAGAAACAGAACTGGAAAACCATCTTTATTTTTCTTTTGAAGTCCAAAATAGTGTACAAACTTCAGGATACTTAACCAAAGAACATTGAGAAAAAGCCACAGGTCTAGAGCAATGGTTTTAAAGAGCAAAGAAAATGAAAAGAAGGGAGACTGAGTAGGGAGTAAAGCCCAAACTGGACAGAACTGGACAGCAGCTCTGCAGCAGAAAGAAGCAAAGTGCAGGAGTCCAAGAAATGCAACTGAGAGGACAACATGCAACAAAAAAAAGTATTAGGTGCATATTCTCTGCCCATGTACTTTGTATAAATGAATGAAGGGTAGTCTGTTACAGGAAAGAGAGGAAATCTCATCTAAGAGCTTTAAGGAGCACTGTGTCATACAGATGTAATTACATTTTCATTTTAGTACACAATCTACAGTGATTAATAAGTTAATCATAAACAATAGGCATGTGTTTGATGCAAACGACTCAGATCACAGCTACAAATCTGATTCATCAAATTATTAGTATACAAAAAAGTTATTGAAAATCATTAAATACCTTTCCGCTGGGAAGACCTAATTCCTTAAGTGCCTGAAAGATCACTTTTTCTGTTTTACCTGATGCAAAGGTTCTGGTAATGCTAAAACAAAAGAAAAGTGGAAGAAAAAAAAAAGGAGAAATATTAGTCATTTCTTAAACAATCACTTCTCTCTCTCTCTCTTGCTTTAACTGCCAACATTTTCCTCTGGCTTCAACTGATGAATTTAAGCATCTTCCAAGTAATAGTGCAGTTGAAAAAGTGCTCTAAGCTTCACAGAGCAGCACTGCTCTGTCTGCAAGCTATCCATTAGAAAATATATCAAAATAATGAACTGCAGAAAGAACAAAAGAGGGTTTTTCTCCAACATACTGGGATACAGAGCATTATTCTGTTGGGTCTTTTAAACTCTATGCATAGATAAATGACTGTGTTTAAAAAGCAGCAGATTCTACAAGTGAGAATAGTTTTGTGTTCAGTGACTCCTGGTTGTGGTGACTTCTCTCCCTCTCCAAACAGTAACCTACACCTGATAGGTCACCCACAAGGTAGGTATGAACCATTCCCAATGGCAGCTTCCTTCCACCTTCCTTTTCAAGCAGCCACTGCTAGCAAGAGTCAGCTCATGCCCATGGAAAAGCAGATCCAAACTTGAAAGCTTCTCCTTCCTTCTGTTTGGGGTCTAAGCTAAAATGCTGTGTCCCACAACGCCTTGATTCTGGTGTCTCAGTCTGGGGGGAAAAACTGAAGTCTGTATCCAATATCTACTTCTAATGCTAACAAAAGCTGCACACTGGGCAGGACTCCACAGCTGCCTGGTAAGAGCACATTGCTCTTTATCATCAAGTGAGACAAACATTTGATGAGACTTTCTGTTCATCTCATGCATACTAAATAATTTCACATGGTGAAAAATGTGAAACAAACTGTTGCTGTTATTTGTTGCCATAGCAATTCACAGTTGGTTTACTCTCCAAAACACCCTAAACTGCCAATGTAAATATTTTCATACTAATAAAATTAAGATCAGAAAGTGAAAGATCTAAATGACAAAATAATATTTTAACAAATCTTGGCCCATTTTTTTCTTTATTTTTTTAACTGGGTACTTAAAGCAGCTAGATTTCTATGTCTCTATTTAGGCACCTAAATAAGGTTTGATTTTCCAAAGCTGCTAAGTACCAAGATGTTTTCACTAAAATACAGACTGAATTTAACTTGAGGCACTTGTTTCTTAAAATAATCTCAGGTGTCTATTTTTCTACTAATTTTAAAAGACAGAGTAATGTTAGCTCTACAATTTACAACCCATCTTCAGCCCTGTAAAAAATTATATGTCTGTTCTAATGAATTTGGCCCCAATAATAAATGTCACATAAAACATGTAATACTGGCATAATTAATCAGAAACTGTGAGCCAAGATTCTATGGCTGCAGGGAACTTATTTTTGACGCCAAACTATTCTTTATTGCACCAAAGATGACAGCAAACATAGTGGCAATTTGTAATGAGAGCAGCAGCCTAGAAAAGATTGCATGAATCAAAAAAAGACTGTAAAAATACAGCATTACAGTTTCATTTTCCTAAAGGATATCAAAAATAAAACTACTTTTTCCCCCTATCAGAAAAGATGCAGGGAAGTAACAGTTGACAGACACCTACAGGTGATTACTCTTCCTATTCTTCAGTGGTTTGGGGCTTTTTATGGTAACATGTTAATATACTTCCTCACAGATATTTAAAATATTCCCCAAATCTGGGACTGAATCTATTGTACTTGTTGATGGATTAAATGACTTGTTTTTTTCAGACCTTCACCACTTTCCTAACCATTACTTCTAAAATCAAGCCAACACAAACTGTTCAGATCTTTTATCATGGCTCCACTGAACTATCATTTTGTCTAGAACAAGTTCCACTACCTGCACTGCAGGAAATTACCTAAAACTATGATTTCCAAGCACCATCTAGGTAGTGAAACAGATTTCTTCCAGGCACTCTGGAGTAATCGCTACAAACCATAATTATTTAAAAAGTGTAATTTCAAATTCACTTAATTAAAATACTGTGAAACAAATTCAAGCCTTATTTGTATAGTTTAGCTTATGATTTTTTTTAAAATATTTTCATAGTTAGAAGCTAAATTAGCTTAAATCCTCTGAAATGTAGTTATACAAGGGATAAGTATAGATAGAGCCAAGCTAATTTCTAAACAGGTTGTAGCTGAACAGGTGCAACTTGCACATATAGAAAATCCATTTTCTGCCAATAGAAAGCTGCAGAAAACAAGTAGAATTTTTTTTTTTTAAACAAACATTGACCTTTTAGTCATCAATGCAGTAGTGTTAAAATCTGAAAATACAAAATATCTTTTACCAAGTGCCCTGTCCTTGTAAGATCTGCAGAGGTAGTTCTAGAATCAGACTGCTAAAATTTATTAAAGCCCAAAAGGTTAAACTGGTGCTGTCCTAAGGTTTTAACACTACTAACAGCCAGAATGTCTTCTCTCCCAAACTCAGTAACTTGGAGGAATAGATCTATGCCCCAGAGTACATTAAAAGCCAAAAGTAGTTCAGAAGAATCTTCATGACTCTGTAACCCCCAGCTGTACTAATGAGGAGTCAGGAATATTTTTGCCATTTACCACTGACAGCCTAAGGAGCTTCCACCTTCTCAGGGCTCATCCTTCCCTGTGCCATCTGCAAGCTGTAAAAATTTGTCTTAAACCTGGAAAGAATTGCAAGGAGCTGTGATTTCCCAGGTGGGATTTTTTGTTTTCCTCATTGTTCTACTGCACTTTCTTTGTAAAAATGAAAGGCAGGTGATCTTGTGATACACATTCCTGCAGCTTAACAGATGTGCTGGGTATTTGTTTTTGGGAGAATAACCTTCCTATCTATAACCCTGGAGCTACAGCAACTGCTACAGGAGTCCCCGAGTGGCAGGAGGAGGTGGAGGTTTGATGAAGCAGGGCTGACTAGGTAACATTGTATTTAGAAACAGGTATATGGGAAGGGCTGAACCTGGAGGTGAGCTAAAGCTTCTCTGCACTGTGTTCATGGGAGGAGGAGGGAAGCAACTTAGTGCCCCGCATCCCAGGTTGCTCAGTGCTGAGATACCTGGATGCCTGTGTCCCATTTTCACGATACAGGGTTGCTGCTAATCTCATGATCTTTGCTGCCCTCCATTAGGGCTCTGATTCACCCTCTTTTTCCAATTTGGATCTACAAAGAAGACTGATTGCCCCCCTCCCCATCTCCCTTTATTCCCATTTCTCCTCTACAACTCTCCTCCCTCCTCTCCCTGGCACCTCTTTAAGTCCTTTCAGTGGGAGATATAGTGCTTCCCAGATGAACCCCCCCCAAATTGCCATATTTCACCCATACTAACACAGCACATTCCTTGGAGCATCCAGATGTAAAGAAGAATGAGCTTCCCTCTGCACAGCATAGGATAGTACATCCCTCACAAATTTATAACCAAACTACTTCTGCAATAAATTAAGCTGCTAGACACCTATTTATGTCAACCTGGAAATAGAGCAAATTTGAATTTAAAGATATAATACACTGGAACCAGTAAACTGGACTCTCTTCAGCAACATGCAGGCTTGTCTGCATATGCAAATCAGCGTGCTGTAGCACAACAGAGAGAATTTATGCCTCACTAAAAATGAGGTAAAATATTTCAAGGCAGAAACAGAGTCAGGCAAGCAGGTGATCCATAAATTCATACCAAGGAATAAAGCTCCATATTCAAACACAGGCATAAAGCTCTGAAGTGTTGAAAATGAATTTGCCCCTTGTAGTATTTTGTTCCCTCATCATTATCCTTCAGCTGATATTCTTCATGGGACTTAGAAATAGTATTTGCCTCATGGCAGTTTAGTTCAAGCTTGAGAAATAAACAGGGCTTTGGCAATGTGAAAGCTGAAAGATTAATACACTGAAGCAGCCTAAAGATTGTCAAGGTGTTTTGAGTCATGGAACTACAGAAACCTGGGAGGCAGCAATGGCAGGTCCTTTATCTTTTTGCACATTCTGTAGATGCTAAATCCTCTCTTTCTCCCTTGAAAAAAATGTTCTGTGAGGCTTATCTTACAAAATCTTCCTTGCTCCCTTCTGTGTATTTCTATTTATGAAAAAACTGCATGCCCCAGAAGTGTGTTTTTCACACGCTGCATGAAAAGGAAAGAAGCCTCACCTATCAGCAAGAATTAATTTCTGGAGCAGGAGGGGGGACAATTAATACCTAGCCAGAGAGGACTGGAAATCAGTAACTCTTAGTAAATACTGTACAGAAAGTAATACATTGTTCCAGCTTTTTTGTTACTGTCAACAACTAACCCAACAATTGATTTACCATGTGGAGAAAACCAAATATTATCCTGGGGGTTCCTGTAAAAGTAGAAATATTTTGGCAGAGCTCTAGCTGTCTCTTTTACAAGGAACTACATTTTAATATGTACCTTTTTATCCTCCTCTTAACTGGCCTGCAAGATTTTACAATTCTTTGGATAAGTATTTTATGAAGTTTTACAACTGAAAAACCCACCTCAGAGTTTGAAGAGTTTTAAGCTGAGAAAACTGATGCTCTTAGTTCTAAGTGACTTTGAAAACAGTTCCAAGCACTCATATCTTCATTACAAAGAGCCAAGAAAAATATTACTAGGCTGGTAAGAAGTCCTGCCTAGGTTACCAAAGAGGTAAGGAACTCTGCTGAGTAGTTCTGTAGTTAATTTTGATCATATAAGTAGTAGTAATAAAATTGATATTATATTTCATTATTAAACTACAGAATTTTGTTAATATTATACAACCAGTACCTGATAAAAACTGGAACTCCTCATTTTGCTTACCTCCGAACTGGAATTTTCCCATTTGTGTTTGTCAGAAATGCAAGTTTCATCCAGCTGAAATTAAGAATGAAGTACTTTTAAAATACTATTTATTAAAGTTGGGAACTAGATACTTCTATTCAGATTAAAATTATCTATGAAATAAACACAGACAAGTAATATTTCTGTAGTAAGAACATCTTTCTGTAACCTTTTAGTGCTTGAGGCAGAGCAGTTCTTTAACTGTAAAGGCAAAAAGCAGCCCAAAAAATCAGTACATCAATTAACAAAAGTGTGAAGACATGAAAGACTTGGGAAGTTTTGTTTGCATATCCATCAATGAAAGAACAAACCAGACAATAATTAAAACATACAGTATCAATAAATTGGCTTTTAGTTTCTCCTGAGCAGGTGCCAGATATAGACTTGAGACATCTTCTGGTCACAACGAAAGATAAACTAATTTCACATAATTTTCTTTATTACACTGTTTTGTCTTTGCAGATGTTGATCTATGAAAAATCAAGTTGTTGTTGTTGTTTGTTCGGTTTTTTTTAATTCCAAGAAGGAAAATACAAGGACAGAAAAAATAAAGGGGAGGAAAGAAAGTAACTTACTGTTTCTTGAGACATGTCATTGGACTGACATTGTTAGCTCTAAAGTTATGTATGATGGATCCAAGCCCTTCTACCCATTGCTGAAACACACAAAAATACAGACACAACAAATTAGGAAAACTGAAGAAGGAAAAAGCAGGAAAGTTTGTCTTGGGGAAAGGCAGCTCTTCCTTGAAGCTATGAATGCTGTTAGAAACCAGGGTCGAAGGAAAAACCCTGCCTACTGGACACCCTGCAACACCATGGAAAAGTCCAGCCACATTTTACCCATTACTATTTCATCCTTCACTAAAAATGATTGGTCTTTCTTCCATTCTTCCAAGTACTACATGTAGCATAAGTGGTGCTATTAAAACAGTTTATCACCAAAGGCAAGCGGTCCATTGATTGATTTATTAAGCCTTCTATTTATAGCCTGTATAAACATGTGCCTCCCTTTCAGTTGTGGCTGGCAATATTAGCTATTACTAAGCAGCATTATGGGATGACATATTTAACTGGTCCACGTTTAGTAAAGGAATGAAACAGAATATTAATAAGCCAGAGCAAACCACAGGGAGGCTGAACCATTTTTCTATGACTCTGGTCTCATCTAACACTGTGACATACTCAAGTCCTGCTTGCTTTCTTGCTTTCACCCTTAAAAATCAAAATATTCCAGTAATCATTGGGATGACTTTCAGTTGAGAGCAGCATTACAGCACTTAACTTATGTAATTCCTTTTTATGGCTCTATTTCTCTACTATAGCTTGCACCTAGACTTTGCAGTACTGTATAGAAGAAGCTTAAGGATTAGGCCTTAACACAAACACTCATTGATTTCAGGGAGAAACCTGGCAGGATAAAGCTATAGGAAGGGAAAAAAAAATAGAGCACTGCAAGCCAAGTTCGATCTCAATTATGCCATTGTAATGCTAGGATTACTCAACAGATAATTCACACTGGTGGAACTAAGATGGGATTTAGTCCACTCCTTAACATCAGCCTTATGACTGAAGAAGCTTCTGGCCAAATTCTGTGTATGCAGCTTGAACTGACTTGGGCAGGATCCAGAATCTGAGGCTTAGATACAGATGAGAATGTTTTTCGTTTCATGAATGAGTGCTGTACATCTGCAGAACAGATGGAAAAAAAATCATCATTTATATAGGAGGAATACTAACATCTTTGGAAAATGGCATGTTGTAAACTGCAGGCACTAAATCCCAATGGACTAAAAGGCCTAAGGTGTCAATTCAGCAGATAAACACACTTAAGTAGACCCTTGTATTCAGCATACATTACAAGCACATCACAAAGTTCTTTTTAAACAAGCAATCATTAATCAGACTCTCTTAAAAATAGATCTTATATATCTATTTTGCTTTAGGAAAAGTAGCCATTTATTAAGACATTTATCAATATGTAAATATTGGGTTTTTAATTACCTTTTTTAAGAAGTACCCCATAAAATACACAAATAGATTAACTGTGCATCTGAGAATCATTTGAAAAGTCTGACTTAGGAGAAAAGCTAGCACTTGGGTTTTTCTTGCTTGAAAACAACCTACCACTAATACTCTGTCTTCCCATTTCTCTTTTCCCAGCTTCATGAATAAGGTGGCTTAGCCTTAGTACTTAGTGGCTTAGGCCTAATACTTTATGGATGTACTGCAGAGAAATATAAAGCAAGTAAAAGTTCACAGGGAGAGGTAACACTATTTACAAGAACTGATATAACTGGAAGCCATTGACAAACTTAGGAAACACATCTCTTCTTACAAACATCCCCTCACCCAAGATGAAACAGTAATAGTGCTTGTGATAATTTCAGCATAAACACCTGAACAAGTCTTAGGTATATTTCCATCTCTTCAACTATCATCAACAAACTATGTTTGGCCTTTTGTGGTTTATTTTGCCTGGGGTTTGGTTTTGTTTATTAAACAGTAAAATGTAACATCATTGCCACATTAACACTGTCACAGCTCTACAAACATTTCTCCTCCTGTCACCTGGATTAGTCTGTAGTCCCTTAAATGCTCCTCAACCTTTCAACACTAACCCACGCAGTAAAATGGCATATGCACTGCAAACAAAAATACTCTTGCAAAATTAAATTACACAAAAGGCATGTTATGAATAAGTTTCAGTCTTTCAAAACTCTCATTTTTTTCTGCTAAAAACCACCATTGGTGTAGTACTGGCAACGTCACCATTTCAACAGGAAATCAAATACACATGGATCCATTCTGATTTGAAGGGAACCATTCACAAGTACACAAGATACAACAACACCTAACATTTAAATGTAAGGTTACCCAGCACTTGGTTCTGAACTTAATTTTGTACATCAAGAACAGCTGCCAAAAAGGAACGCTGCAAAAAAAAACCCATAAGTGTGGCCAGGAATCAATGCACCAAGTAATTACCAAGTGATATTTTAGCAGGAGTTGTCCTGATGAGTCCCACTTTAGAGGACTCCTTAATCCTTTCCCAATGATAATATCCTTTCCTGACAGAGATGTCATATCAAGAGCTGCATTCTCTTACACCAAAAGAGCACAGAACTACAGCTAAACACCCATAAGCCATAAAAGCATCACATCTCTGCTGGCACCAAGCAAGGGAGTGACCCAAGAGTCTCTGCCCATCTGTGAATCATCTTTCCATTGCCATGATGTCCCCTGGGCAAGACATGACAGTTCAAGCCACACATTTGCCTATCTGCTCCACACCACATGGCTGCTCTTTAGTCTAGCAGCTGGCTGCTCATTCTTCAGTTTGGGGCAAAAGCAGTTTCTGGAGTGTTTCACTAAATATTCCCCATGGTTACAAGTTGGCCCCAAATTAACTAGAAGTAAGAGAGCTGAGGGGAAAAAAAAAAAGCTTCTAGATTGTGAACATACTATAAAGAAGCAAAATGACACATGATGAAACAATGTCTTCATCCATAGATTAATATGCAGGCTCAGTGCAATACATTCAAACTCTTTGTCCTAAGCCACAAGAGCCCCCAAATAACAACTATCTTCAAAATATCTAAAGCCTGAACACTCCGACAAATGTCAAACTGGCAATATATTGCTTTCCTGACAACAAACCACTCCTAGATTTAATGTACACTTGTCTGATGACCTTGTGTGAGAGACGAAAGAAAAGCTGAGATTCTTCTCAGCCCAGATGCTATGAAGAATATAGCAGGAGCCTTTTTTTGTGTGCTATGACAGCACTCCTTACTTTACAGATGAAGCTGTAAACCTGTGTAAGTCAGCGGGGATAAAGCTCCTCAATTCTCTTCTTCCATGTTCAGAATTTCTAAATCACCATCTCTCCAAAGAAGGAAAATCCTATAATGAGATGAAATCCTGAGATAAGGTAGATAGGAAGCACTTCATTTTGGGCTTACAGAAATTAGAGCTGCAATACGTTTTTGATAGAAATGCAGGATACATTTGATTCTTACTGATGCTAGTGCTAAATATTTTCCAGTTTTCAAATTATGGCTCAGTACCTTTAATCTGTCAATGTAACTCCTGAATGGCTCTCTAGATACCAAGAATTATTGCAGATTCATATAAAAAGAGGAATCTGGGCTCTGCTATCTAATCCTAGAGAAACCACCACAGTGAAAAGGAACAAAATCAAAGACAAATACACTTTAAACACAGACCCTTAGGCTGACACAAAAGGCCAAAATCTAAGTACACTGCAGGCTGGAATAAGCAGCTGTGTTGTTTTTCTCTAACAAGTTCCAACATTGTCAAAGATCTCTCTAAGGAGAAGGTGCAAGAAAAACTGGTTGAAGCAGCACTCTGTCAGCTTTTGCTGTAGTACCCAAATGCTTCTGAGGCACTTAGTGACCCTGCTCTAGCTGGGGTTCATTGATGAGACACAGGCAGCAGTGGTAGGGCACACAGATGAGTCTGACCTCTCAGCTCTCCCTTTTAGCCATCAGCATTTCATTTAGGAGGGTTAAAGTGGCAAACATTATGAAAGGCTAAAAATGACTGTAGCCTACAGCACATGAAATTCTAGACAAGGTCATCCAAGGCTTATTTACAGATGAGGTCAGTATTCTCCAAAGCTCATGAGATTTTATCTTCACTTTCTCAGTGCAGTCTCTCCACAGTTGCACTGTACTTAATCCAGGCATGGGGAAAGCTGAGGAAGCAAGGAGGCATTGCCCCCTGGTTTTGTTCTTCAGTGCCTGTGACTTGCTGTCAGAGTCAAGGACTTCACAGCTTGAAGCTTCATGAAACCCTCAGAGACTAGAACCATGTTTCCCAAGTCTTCCCAAAGCAGCCCTGGCCTGGCAGAACTCCCCACTACTGTGCCCTCATCCAGCGGTGCTGTGACCAGTAGATGTCCCTCTTCTCCCAGTGCAGATGTCTCAGAAGCACTATTCCCATACCTCTAAGGTAAGACAGCAAAAGCAGGGAGACTAGACAAGTGATGGTGTAAAACCTATCCCCTGTCTGACCAGCTGCAGAAGAGACTTGAGAATCTTGCTGTGAGAATTCAGAGGATGAAATGGGCTCTTCTGACTTGCAAGCATTTCATCAGGAAAGCTGACTGCTCACACAAACATCCTGTTTCAGGAGTTGCCTGATGAGTCCAGACTGCTACCATCCCTTCAACAAAGCTTTATACCTCAGAAGGACTTTGCCAGCATTTGAGTGGTCTATTCTGAAAGTGGCTGGAAAAGCCACTTTGGCTGCTTTTGCATGCAAATTAAGACAAACATAGTGGTGCTTTACACTGTGAAATCAACCTCCTGGCTACAGAGCACCAGGGCTGATGTTTTTTTCACTTGACTGACAATTCTGCAGTGGTATAGCCAAGGAAGAATGCAAAAGCAGAAAAACAAGCACACTGAAATCACACTTAACTGCAGGTTGACTAGGATATGAAGATTTCTCTAGAGTTTCAGGTAGCAGAAGCTACCTGAACATGTAAGCAGTGATCAGGTATTTAAGACAGTCACAGTTTAGAAATGTTTATCATGTAGGCTGTGAGATATAAGGCATATAAGAACATAACAGGACAGAGAGAACAGCATTAGACTTCTAGAGTTCTGTTCAAGTATGTTCTGCAGGTTTCTTGGAAAGTTTTGTTTTGCCAACATCAAAACAAAACAAAACTATGGGAAAACAACTTTTCTGTAAGTGACTGTGGGATGCTCCATGGGAATCTTCTGCTACCATCTAGTTGCCCTCCTAGCAATATGACTTGGGCAAATATTTAATAGCTTGTTTGATCAGGGGAAAGTTAAAAAAAAAATAGGGTCAACTGAAACAACTGTTTTCTAAGTCAAAAAGAACCATATAGTAGAAAGAGCAACAAAAGCCATCAGCCTGAAGTGCTTCATCTTCCCAAAACCACAGTGGTTCATTTCCCCATTTTAAACAAACTGACATAAATTTTAAAGTGAAAACTATTATTGCAGCTGAAAAGCAGAGAAATTTGAGAATTTCCAAACGAAATGCTTTCAGCTGCAGTCATCTGGCCTGCCATGATGTTATGAGCTGTATGATAAAGCTTGCATTTTGCCTTTCTGCTGTTTGTCAGCAGATGAGTAACAAAGCCTTTCAGCAGGTGCTATTCATCCTGCTGCCTCACAGGTTAGCCATCAATGTGTGATTCATTCACTGAGTAACATACCTGTAGAAAATGTCTGTTTTCTATCAAATCCACCCATGCCAGTGTAAAAGGTTACTCCACTCGCCCTCCTACCCTGTCCCCTCTGTGGCTGCTCCCATCCCTACCTACCGCCAACAGAATGGTGTGCACTGGTGTTTCCCAGAGCCAGGTTATTTTTACCCCTAAACAGGTGACATGAGATTAATGCTATGGCTCTTCCTTTTAGTGAAATAGTAGTGATCATAAAGTCCTCTGCCAGCAGGGCAGTGGGAACTTTGTAGAAGAAGGGCAAAAAACTGCCAGCTGAAGAGATGGTCCTTCCAACAACACAGCTGGACGGGAAGAACAACTGCCAAGACAAGTTTACCCCAATATCCAATAATATTAAAGAATGCAAAAAGAGCTGACCTGACTTAGGTTAAGCTTTTACATTAAACTCTTTAATGCATTGCCAAAGTGGATGAGCAAAGAAGACAAAGTCCCAGTTTTGGGAAGAGGAACTGCAGCAGCTATATTGAACTCATGCCAGCTTTGGATAGGCAGCCAACATGCCCTGCACTTAGACCTCACATCAGCACTATGTCGTTTCTACACTAAAGAAATTTGCCCCCAAATATTCACCAGCCTTTTCAAACGTTCTAGATTGAGGAAAGCAGATTATCAGATTACTAGGTCACAGAAAATCCAGCTGGGAAGTAAAAAAGAAAACCACACACATACTCCCACACCTCTGATATGTTTGTGTGTTTTAATTTTAGCTCACGGTAATTTATATAACCTGATTTAATCAGGATTCCAAACATTAGCTTTTCAATTCCACCTCTTCCAGTCACTCTCTAGTACCACAGCAGAGCTGCTTCAGGAGTGGACCACAGCAGCTGCTTGGAATCACACACAGCATACACCCTGTTTTGTGGTTGTTTTAAGAGTGGAAATGAAAACCAATTTTTCAGCTGAAAACACCAATAAAATTTAAGTAGATAGAATGTAAATACCAGAGTTGGAGCTTGGAGACAAGTGAAGAGACAATAAACACACTCTTGTTGTTGGAACAGCTATACTTGGAGCTCAGTGATGACTTGGCCAGAGCTGCTGAGCACACGGCCACAAGAGGCAGAGGAACGTGGGGCTGCCCCGCTGCAGAGATGATGACAGGTCACAACAGGCAGCCTGTGAGGAGCCCTACCTGGAAGGGAAGGTTCTCCACTGCCCACAGCAGCTCTGCACATGCCCTCCTGCCACACTCCTAGGGGACAGCCCCCACGTCCTGCCACCCTGTCCTCCAGGACCTGGCAGAATCTGCTCCCTGCTGATGCCACTCCTTACAGAGGTAGCCTGAAGAAGCCAGGAATCTGCATTCACTCTCCTCATTGCCATGCTTGTTCTGTTCTATCATAGTCCAGCCTTCAGTGAGTAACAATTACTTCTTTTCCAACTGTAAATGACTACCTACAGAAGCAGAATACCTTTTTGCCCCCTTTCTGGGCAGAAAGGCTCTGGGCTTCTGTATTTGGATCTGTCATCAAATTCCCTTGTTTTAAAATATCCCAATCAGGTGTCAACCAATCCCAGCCTCTGTTTATCTGAGGAAAGGACAAAATCTACAGCATGTAATTCTTGTCTTCCTCATGGCAACAGCACCACAGCTGATGCATCCCTTATGCATATCTGAGCAGCTTAAGCTACAGTCATTGCCACTTCTTCTCCAAACTCTTGCCTCTGTCATTTCCCAAGGGGGGCTTGCTTTTGAGCATGGATTAAATCAAGACCTGTTTTAAATGGCAGTTAGTAGCTGCATAGATACTTAATGCCACACAAAGACTCTCTTCTTCTAGAGGAGATCTATTATGTCCCAGGAGAAAAATGCCTTCTCGTGGACAAACTGGAAAGAATTATGCAGGAACAGCTCTATGTGCAGGCAACTCCTAGAAAATTTTGTTTTAGCACAGAATTATAGTAGCAAATTGATGTGCTTACCATATATGAAAAGCCAATACAGTACAGGCCAAATGATTTCCCCTGTGCCCATATCCCCATCGGAGTCAACTTAAAAAGCTCTCCATTATTTTTGGCTTGATCTACTTTACTCCCTCCTTTGTGCCTTGAACATGTCAGTTCCAGCTGATGACCACTGTTGACAAGTTATGGATATATGCTCTGGTGGAAAGACTCCCAAATGCAAGTGTCTCACACTTATGGGCCCCTCAGAGCCTACCCCCAAGCTGGCTGCAGCACGACACACCAGTTTTGGTAAGCATCATAGCAGTTAATGAAACAGTAGATCTTTGAGACAGTACAATTAGCTTGCCTGTTGTAACAGTCTGGGTCCAACACACTCTTCACAAACCAATTAGTCTAATACAGTTTATTGAGATGTAAGGTGGCTAAAAAACTTAACTCCAATTCTCTGTTTTCAGAATAAATCAAAGATACTGTTGGGTCAAGTATTAAAGCAAATGCTGCCAGCATCTCCTTTTCTTTACATCTTAAATGTTTTCAAAACATAACTGTGGCATGTTATTTCCCCAAAAGCCTGCTGAAAATACACACAGTTAAATCAATTTAGTGTACCTAAGCAAGTTATACAAGCACTTCTCCTATCATGAAGTTTACTCAGTACAGCCAGTGTTTAAAGAGGTATGGATCCAAAGCAATGAAAAATCAGCCAGGTCTGCCAAGGTATTTAGTGATACTGCACTTAGGAAACAGATAACCCATTTTAAAGGAGAGGATTTGGCAGGTGTGTGTTACTGTGCACTATTCACTGTTTATCTCACAGGCAACACAGGTTATAATACACTGTAAGTACATACAATAAAATAAAAATTAAAATGTGTATTTTTAAAATCCCTCAAATCTCTGGATCTAAGCTAGTAGCATACCATATCAGCACTCTGGATCAAATTTCTCCTCATAGTTTACAGCAGACAGATCAAGTACCAGGCCTTGGTGGAGCCACAGAACTTGCATTCTGAACTGCAGTCTTAAGCTCTCAGGAAAGATGACGTGTAAAAAAGCACCATTGTTTTTTAAAGACTGTTCTGTATTGATGGGAAACAGAAAAGAACCTGGGTACACTGGAATCCCCTTAATTGTAGTGAATTTTCTTTCCTGCTTTTGTCTTTTCAAATAATATGAACCACAGAATACAATAAGGTTTTCGCTGAACAAAATTTTGGAGGGCTGTGCTCCAGCCACCAGGAAAATGAAAGTAATTGCACTTGCCTTCAGCATCTTATTCTACCTCTCACACACTGTGTAACTGTGAAATACCTTGGCTATTTCTGTGTTTTCTGCTACCAGGAAAGTGAAGCTGATGTTCACCAGATCTATGCCACTGCAAACGCACACTATCCGTCCTTCCAGCTCATTTTCTGACTTTCCAACAGCCTCAAGTGCAGTTAGGATTTTGGGATCCTGTTAAACAGAACAAAGAACTTATTACATTTGCAATACTTTCCTTATGCAATATGGTAAAGATGCATTTCCAGCTCTGTACACATGAACAACTTTAAACCTTTGTCAGTCATCTTAAGTGAATTATTTTACTTGGAATTATTGTGTGCAAACCTGAAAAATAATACATTCTAACAATTAGAAACACGAGTGGGAGAACACAGAAGTAAATTAAGCACTTTAAATATATTTCAGAAAGTTAAATTGGAAATTATATATATTTTCATAAAAAAAAAAAAAAAGAAAAAACCTGATCACTCCAAGGACTGGAAACAGAGGAACAATATTAATGTCTAAGTAAATTATTCCAACCTAGTTGAACCCATTTATTGAGAGTTACATCTGTGTGACATTTTGGCTGTTTATTAATGACAGGTTTTACAGCTGCTACCTCTGCTGAGGGTCAAGAACTATAGATTTAATGGGCATAAAGAGTAAATTACCTATGGAAGCATACTGGTATGGCTGTCAGCACATGAAGCATGGGTTGTCTGCACCACCACTTCTCATGCCCCTTTCTCTATGGGGGAAAGACTTTAGTCTATGGATTCCTGAGAGACAGTTACCTACAGTTAACACAGCAACATTTCACACACAAAAGTGGAGATGCAGAGGTGTTAATAGATACCTTGATTCACAATAGAGCTCCTAAACTAAAGCCCTCGAGGAGGGATGCCTAAAATTCAATTCAGAAAAATCTATGTATTCCTTCCAAAGAACACCACTGAAAATATTCCTGAAGTTTTGGAGTTCTCTAGAAGTCCTAGGTAGGACTTCTGTTGATACTGTTCAAAAGGGCAGACCCTGACCAGCTGCCTTCTCTGGCCATCTAACTGCAAAAAAATAGATGCAAACAAAACTTTCTACATTATATGTCAGTGGAGCAAGAAGATACAACAAATTTTAAACAGACAGGAACAAAATTTGGAATGTGAAACATTGTTTTCCATCTCCTTAAAACAAGTATCTCAATACAGTGTTACAAAATAATTAAACCTGCATTTCACCTTCAGTTTAAATAGTCTTTGTTTAAATGAAGAGTATAAACTATCCACAGGAGTACCTTTGGAACAGCTCCAAAACGAACACTGTTGATCAGGGAGCATTCTAATACCTGTCCTTCCTGAAATGGTAAAAAAAAGGTACAAGTTCAGAGGTCTGTTGACACAGGGCTGCATTAGGAATTGCAGCAAAAATAAACAATCTTGTTTACAAACAATTAACTTTAAGCAGTATAGTTCCCCTTTATAGCAGTTAATTCCCTGCTAAATACTTCACTTCTGTCAATTCTAAAAGAGTAAGACTAAGGCTAGTTTTGTAAATAAACCAACAGTATTTTAGATTTTTAAAAACTAGTCAGAATATAAACCAAATGGTATAATATCTAATATATATTCCTGATACAATTGTAATATACCTTTCCTTCACTTTTCCAGCTCAGAAAAAAGCCAAATTCATCCACTTGGAAGAGACAGTTGCTTTCAAAGACAAAAGATTCCTATGGAAAAGAAAATACAGACCATTATTTTTAGTCAGTTTGACAAATGTCACCAATGTATTTTCTGTTCAGAAAGAAAAGATTGTTACATTTCTACCCAAATACCCTCTTGAAGAATTTGATACTCCCAAAGCAATCAGAAATGAGGGAGGTAGGCTTTTAAAAAATGATAATTTTTAATTATTTGACTTTTTGCTGCCATTGAGACATTGAAATGCAGTTAATATTTTCCTACTCCTTTTCAACTATGAATATCTGTTTTGTTTAATAAAAGCAGTGATTCTTACCTACCAAAAAAACCCTACTTAAATGGAACTTTTAAAATTACTCTTTATTAAATGCTTCAAACTATGTGAAGGTTAAAATGTATAATTTGCCTGTATTACCTTCAGGTTCAGATGACCACAATTCCTTTTAACATTCAGAATTTAGGAAGCACTTTGCTGTTAGGCTCTGCCAGTCTGCATGCTGCGAGCGTTTTGCAGCCAGAGCATCTGGCAAACAGAGTTTGAAGGATATTGATTTGTAGAGAAATCAGGAAAGAACAGCATACCAATGAGACTAGACAAGGCAAGGAATCAGATTAGCTGAATTATAAAAGAAATTTCCTCCACACACCTCCAGCCTCAATTAACACATCATAAATTAAGCTAAAATGCAAGATAACATTGTGCAGAATCAATCCCTTTTTTAAAGAAAATAGGATCCAGGGCTTCCTGACTTCCTTAATTGAAAACCAACCAGCACTGCTCACTGTTTCCAAGATCAGTGCTCTGCCCTGTGTTAGAGACCAAGGAACCTTTCTACACTGGCATGTCCTCTCCTGTACCTAGAGGATGGCCTCTACCATGGCATAAGGCCATGGGGTGGGCTCAGGAATGGTCACATTCCAGTCAGGTCCTACCCTGACTTGACACTGGGCAAGAAGTCAAGTTGCTGGATCAACTCTTGGATCACATCTTTGAGCCCTCCTAGATGGGCACAGCCAAAGGGATACGCTGTGTTTGGGATAATTGCTCCTCTCCCTGGACACATTAATTATTGAATGCTGTCTGCCACGTCCAGACAACATTTTAGGTCCTCAAGTGAGATTTACAGATTTTTAAGGACTGAGTCAACACCACTATGCATGAGTTTCCAGCACACATTGCTCTGCCCAGCCTTCTTCACCTTAACTGCTATTTTCTTGCCTTCACCCTAGCACTCATCCCTCATGAAACCTACTTGTTACCAGACACGTCAGATTTAATAGTTTTACAGCCCCTGAGGTCTTCTTTCATATAAAAATGCAGCTAGCTACCAATCAAAATGATTGTCTCTTGCATTTCCCAGAAAGATTACTCATACAATAAAAGGCAGGCAATTTTGTGCCATTTATTGTGTCCCCATCTATGAAAAAACTCTTGATATACCAAAAATGTTGTTTTCACAAAGGTGCCTGTGTCAACTGCACTTATGTTGATGTTCCACCCCAGTCCTGACTCCATTCATCAAATTGCTTTTTTCTGCAATTTGTCTTCTTGGATGGTACATAAAAGCACCTACCATAAGAACATGTAAAAGCAACATGACCAGTCGGATTCCTAATCTTGTCTGATTTTTATTTCTCATCGTCTGCTGAGGTAACCATGTTCTAGACTCAGATTTTTCAGCAGTCAAAACGTGATAATGCTTGGCTCAAAATATATTTCCATTATTTTGTAATTCTTCTGGTTAAGGCACTCATTTACAGCAAAAGATGGATCAAGACACCACTCCACATAACGAGCCAGATTTTTCTAGCCACTCAATGGAACTCTGGTGCATAAAAGACCTCTCATGCTGTACTAGCACTGCTCAGTCACCCAAAGCATGTACCAGGACTGCATTGACCTGCTGGACAGCCTTGGTTCACTTCCCATTTCTTCTTTTTCCCCCATGGTGAGCTTTTTGCTGGGGTGGGGAATTAAGCAGAGAATTTCCATGAAAATTTGAAGCCTATGTCTAAAACAGTATCCTTCAAAACTGCAAGCCCTATAGCATATGGATTGGATCTTGACAGGTTTGTGTAGCCTTTCTAAAACAATGGTCTCTCTCTCGGGTAGGCTATCTAGTTACTAGCACAACACAATTAAATAATAGCCTATGTATATCATAAATCTGATAATATCAAACAGCCACACCACCAAGTCCCCACTGTTTACAGGCTACAGATCTTAACTCCTGAGTCACTGGGTTTTTTATAGCCCTTGATGATTGCTGTAAAATGGCAGATAAAATATACAGTTAAGTTACCTAAGTGAAAGCCTTTTAATGTTTCCAAAACAGTTCCCCTCAAGAAAATGAACAAGGCTTCCAAAGTGTACCACAGGAAACCTGAAGTAAGCTGTGGCAAAACTTGCAGCAGGTGATGCAGCTAGAGAGCATCATGTGGATGGCCAAACAACAGGACCTTTTTTTCTACAGGGTTTTGGAAGGCAGTAAATGTAGCTGCAAGGAGCAAGCCTTCTGGTGCTACCATCTCACCCCACGTCTGCCCAGCATGATCTAGCCTTGCACAGGTGCCTGCTGGGCACACCAACCCACAGTGCAAAAGGATTACTTTTTGAGATGTCTTATTCTCCCTATCACTATATTAAGGACCCAGGTGACTCATGGAGCATTCCTGAACTTACACCAAAATTTGAGCACTTAAACTCTTTCCTTTTATGTTTCTCCTTAGACATTTCTCATTTAAAGTACAAAAGAACAACCATGGGTCATATCCCCATCACTTGAATCCTCACAGGTTGAGTTTCTTCATCAATATTTGCTCAACAAAATTAAGCTTTTATGAACATCCTTTCTAAGGAATTCCATGTCCTCTAGTATCTTCTTAGTTTATCTCTCCCCAGAACTGAAAATACAGGGGAAAACAACTATCCCTATCTTGGCAGGCCTCGTGATAAAAAAAATACCTTGTACTTCCATTTCAAAAGATAAGAGGAAAATACTAATATCCTGAAGGCACTTACTGAGATACCTTCAACTTTTAGAGATTTCCTGTCCAAACAAGATTAAAACCAGGCCCTGATAAAATTATTCTCACAGGCATATCAATGCTCAGTATAAGGTAAATGTTTCAGCACTTTATTTCAGCTGTCTACATAAAATGTCCAGTTTTGCATTCCTTTAATAAATTTGGATTAAAGCACAGCTGAAAGCAGGATAATAGTAATCATATTTCAGAGAGAGTACAGGTTGATTTTCTGAAGTTGATAAAAATCACTCCAGATCTCAAATGATGCATTTGAAGCAGAATATAACTGTTTTCTGTTCTCTTCCTTTCCCTTGGGAGATGCAGGTTCTCAGTTTATATATTAAAACAAAGACATATTCCCTCTGCTCAGTTTGATGGATGCACAAAAAAATGGAAGGATTCACTCTGTTCTGTAATGTGCTTTATGAATCTGCAAAGATGAGAGCTTTATGCACATCACAGGTATTTTGATCCAAATCTCCCTTTCTCTTCCTCAGGGCTTAACTGAGATCAGAGGGATCAAATATATTTTAAAGTAATTTCTTTTTAAATCAAAAAGCTGTATAGCAATAAAGTGTGTTGATACTTCCTCCCCACACACAGTTCTGGAGTTATTTGAAAGTTTATTTGTGTACAATAAAAGTAAAACATGAAAAATCCTGTAATATCTAGATATTTAGAAGAGAATAGCAAATGAAATGCAACTGGCCTCTTACCTCTTCATATCTATCAAACACAGCTCCATCCTGCATAAAAGAAGGAACTGGCTTCTGCCAGTTAAATTCATAAGGTTTTGCCATGATTAGAGAAGAAAAACCTGAAATGGAAGGAAAAGGCAGAGTTCAATTACTGTCTTTTAAAAGGAATATTTCAAAGTTTAAGCAGGACAAAAGGGACGTTTAGCTTTTCCTTTCAACACAGAAGTGTTAAAATGCCACAGTGCATTTCCAAATCAAGAGTTTTTCTTGTAAGAATGTTTTTCATGACTTTAAAATGGAAAATACTTGTGAAATGTGGATGTGAACTTTATTTGAAAAAACACTTGCACCATAACATTGTTTTAGCTTAATTATCTGCTACAACACTTCTAGAGTATAATGAGGCTGGGACTAAGAGTCTTAAACAACACAGAAAACCACAACCTGTTTTTTATCTATATGTAAACATATATAGATATATATGAGTGTTCCTTCTTTTACAGGAAAACACCAGACCCCACATGGCCATATTTTATTTTTTTAACAGTCTAGATTGCATCTTACATAGGCAAAGCACATTTTTTCCTCTGTGTTTTGTTTTTCAAATTCCACTTTCAGTGATATTTTATGCATAAATCAAGATATGGATGATAGAGGTCAAAATTCATAGGGAAAAAATTACTTAGGGATATAGGGCATTAAAGAAAATTAGCCAGTAGTATTGTGCATTTCTGCAAGTTTGGGAATGTGAACAAAAGTCTTAATTTAGAGTAAGACAGAAGTCATAACCTATGGACCTGACAATAAAGACTATCAAATTATTCAGTATCCTTTCCAACACCTTGGTGCCTTCTAGGTTATGCTACTTTACACCAGCAAGTGTCCCAGTTACAAACTGTGAAATACCAAAGTTCCTACTCCATTACAATGCAGGCACCCAGCCCAAGCCAAGTTTGATTGAGGAGAAGAAAAAGCATACATAAAATTTAAGGGATAGTGTGACAGTCTGTCATCTATGCTACACAAACCATCACTGTAGTGCTGGTGTCTGCCAGAACTCTGAATAGCAGACTAAAATATTACCAATTAGCTAACAACTTCATCTAAGAACATTGTGGAAGCAATGCCTAATTTGACTAAACTTTAAACCTAGAATAGAAGCAAATCTTTTTTTAAAAAAATAATTATCCTCCTTTTCTGTCTTGTTTTCATTTGAATCAAAAATATTCTAAGAAGAAAGAGAACAAGAGAACTCAGAGGTACTGTTATAAGACTCTATCCAACATCAGCCTTAAGAACAGCCACTTTTGATAAGTCTTCTACAAAAAAACTTTGACTAAACTTTAAAACTAGAATAGAAGCAAATCTTTTTTAAAAAAAAAATAATAATTATGTAGTATCCTCCTTCTCTGTCTTGATTTCATTTGTATCAAAAATATTCTATGAAAGAGAACAAGACAACTCAGTTAGTTTTAAGACTTTATCCAACATCAGCCTTAAAAACAGTCACTTTTGATAAGTCTTCTACAAAAAAATAGCCTTACTACTAAAAAAATGGAAAATTTGATACTGCCCATCACAATCTCCTGCCCCTTTTTGGAATATCAAAAATCCATCTAATTTTTCCAAAGGTTTAGGAATGCAATTAATAATTTCATTCACCACAACTATCAAAAATACAATATGATAATTATAAATATGCATCACCTTTAAGTGTTTACTTTTATTGTAAATGGGAAGAAAACTCAAAATAACTATCTGTATTATCCAATTAGAAACAAGAGGATAAACAATATTTAAGACTACTCATCCATACTTTTTTTTCCCCATTGTAATGAAGAAATATTGTTGAACAAAACAGAGAACAAGGAAGCAGGGCCAAGAAGCTACTAGCTATATTTAATATCTTATTGAAAGCTCCCTCTTCTTTTTGCCAGGCTGGTGCATTTGGCTTTTACTGCTCTGTAAGAGAGTAATAAAATCTTCCTCATGAGAACTATGAGAAATTTTGAGATCCTTTTAGAGAACGTGTCAAAATTATTGTGTTTTTATTATTTTTTTAAAAATACACTTATAAATGTAGGGTCTCTTCCAGTTTAGGCCAGCACAGAGCTGCTTTTTCCTCATTCCATGGAGGAAGTTGCACAGTAGAACAGCCACCCCGTTGCAGTCTTGTTCTGTGCAGCTCAGAGACTTCACACAGCAGCTCAGTATGATCTCTACACCTTTAAAACTTGGTTCTTGTTCTTACTGTGAAGGTACATTTAGAGAAATGCAGCTTCATAAAATTGTTTTCTGACTTCACAGGCGTTCTTAATGGCAAAATTGAAATCAGAACAAACAAAACTCCATACAACAAATTCTCAAAGGTCTTGAAAAGATATCTCTTAGATTTAAAGAAAACATAACACATACACACCTGAAGTGACAAACAATCCATTTTTACGACTTATTTACCATTCCCTTATCTGTTTAAATAACTTTTACTATAAGAATGTTCCCAAGAAGAAAAGTGACTTCAAATGTGACAGGTAGTTCCGCACTAATAGATGCTGCCAGTTGAAGTCCTTCTGGGAAAAGTAGATGGATTCTGTGCTAAAACATAAGAAATGTCTTAAGAATGGCACTTTTAAGACTGTGAAGAATACTGTTGCACAGTCTCCAGCCTACATGCATGGCCTTTACCCTTTTTTACTGACACTGAATCCCACACAGACACAGATTTGAAAACCTGCAAGCTCTGCAACACTCTGAACTATGGTATAAGACACATCATAACATTCCAACCCTGAATCCTGGATGTAAAGAGGGCTTGAACAAACACTTATCTTTCAGAAAGACTAATTACCTTAGCATTACAAACATGCATTTTGTTACCAATTTGAACTTTGAGTTCATCATCCTGCCACAGAAATACAGCCCTGTAAAATTCCCTCCTTTACACCCATCTTCTCCTTTGTCTAGGTACTCACACAGCAGATGAAGTTGTCTTGTTACTTTACCACTGATAAATTAAATGGATTGAGCTCTTCAGTTTCTGCTGCAATGCACATTTTTCAAATCTTGGAGTCAGCCTGAGCCTTCTCCACTTTTCCTTTTTGAAGTGAGGGGTCTGGACCAGGACAACTGCACAGCACAGACCTCTGTCGTAAAACCAGAACTACAATCTCTGTTCTTATTTACATAAACTTGAATTTAGCTGCAAGAAAACAAACTTGATTGCTCGTAACCTATCAAGCAATCGAGTTCTATCTCAGGGACTCAAACTCCTTGTTATTTACCATCTTTCCAATCTCTCCTCTAGCTCTGCTCTCGCACGGGTCAATACGGTTTACAGATGAACTGAGACAGATGAAGTGTGAGGGAAAGATGGCTTGAGTACATGGAGCAAGGAGTCAGATGAATTCCAACAAACAAGATTTTTAAGCCATATGCTTTGGCAGCTGTGCAGAAAGTGAAGAAAATTCTCCCTGCCTTTAGAAAAGCTCTTTTCAGTCTCTCACATTTCTTACGCCCCTCTCAAAAATCCATTCTTCTGTAATCCTGTTAGCTTTTAAGATCACCAAAATAAAACACAAAATAGACCCCTGTCACTCTTTGGAGCTCCGTTAATCTTCATTAACTTTCAAGCAGTTTAAGGAAAGTAAAAAACAAGAACAACCCCACCCAAACAAACATGACATTCTAGCATTCATATGGTTGCATGCAGATAGCCTCCCTGTGATAAGAATCAAGAATTATTCTCTTTAAAGAAATTTAATAACAATGAAATCTATGAAGATTCAACTGGGAGAGATAGATTGAGGAACTGAATTTAAAGACAGTAAAATTTTAATCTGAAAACTTTGAAATAGCTTTTTGAAAATTAAAATCGAAATCTTCTTACTAATTTAGGGTTCTTAAAGTATAAAAAAGCTACTGAATACATACCATTTAGAAAAGCAGAAAGAACACTCATAGAAAATACACTTCAGGACCTAATCAATGACCACAAGGGAGAAGTAGGGGAAGTCTCTCAAGTGCAGCAAGTAAATGCCTTGTGAGCTATCTCCCTTTCTTTCAACACTGATTTATGCCTGAAGACCTGATTTGGATTACATGGAAAAAAACACCTTTTGGTTCACCTGGTGCACTCAAAGATTGAGGACACAAAATTAACCATATCCAGAAGAGCATTATTTACCATTATTTATCTTATGTAAGCTTGGCTGTACTAAGCTAAATGTGGAGTGTGAGGAGTTGAGGTACTATAAATACTGGGATTTTGGGGTAGGGTTTTTTTTTTATTATTCCTCTTTGACCAAAAGAAGAACAAGGTGTGGCTGAACAGGAGGAGGAAAGGATTCTGTTAATATAAAGCAGACAAATGTTTGGGTAAAGAGGTGATATTCTAAACTAAGCCACAGGGCTGGCTAGCGTGATGGATAGGATACTCCTTGGATCCCATAAACATCCTGTCAATGTTGAGATGCTGTTGGACAGGATACCAGTATTCCTTAGACTTGATCCCCCCCAGTCTAAAACACACTAAGTCACCATTTCCGCAGTTTGCTTAGCTCTAAATATTATAGCCATACTTGTAATTTATTTTTTTTAGTAATTATTTTTTTTGCCTCTGGAATGAAATGGCCTTTGGTGAACAAAAAGAGAGGGGGCTCCATGTGCTGGGTTTGACATTTCACACCTAAGCTCTTCAAACCACACCACCTAAATCTGCAACAGTTACTGCCTATGTGGGTTTCAAGGGTGAAGTATAAGCAACCACAGAGCACTACTCTGATTTAGTAACCTTGCCCAAATTTTCTCACAATACAAGCAAGTAATTTAAAAAACAAAACAAAATAAAAGGTATTTCCCACTCTTTCTCCCACTGATGTACATATATCCTTCACCACTGCTCCTTTTTGGTAAACAAGATTCTTCATCACAAAGTCAATGAGGTCTACATCAGCAAACCTCTGCAGCTTTTGGGGTTTTTTTTATGAAGTTCATCCCAGTCCAGAAAGTCTACCTGCAGTGTTGTGGACTAAAGTGAGAAAGCAGCTGTCCAAGGCAGCTAAACAGGCAGTGCAACACTGAAATTCTTATAGAAATGCCCCCTTCATTGCTTTAA